CACAGCCTCTTCCCAATATGCATTTTTGCAATTTACATGTATGCAAAAACGCGTAAAAAACTGGGCCGAGGCGAGTGGGAATTATCCTACAAAAACTCGGCGTCAGCAGGTAATCTCCCTATTTATGAAACTGATGCTTAGATAAAGCTAGGACAAGGACTGAGCGAAAACAGGGGAGGCTGAATGCATGAAGATAGGGTCAGCTTTTGCTTCTGTGGGATATTGGAGGTAAAAAAACAGAGATGTGAACGCTAGGCACAATTACTGGCTGCCGAAGGTAAAACACCTGAATCTTATGGAATTTTATGTAAATCCAATCGAAACTATTTGTGTCAGCTTCACCTAAGCATCGGATTTATGAAAAGCGAAACCGCACCCCCGGTCCCGTCCACTAAAAACGGGTTTTGGTAAGACAATTTTCACTCGTATGAGCTCATTTTTTCTTGTTTTTGTTTTTATTTATAAGTTCCGATCCTTTGATTTGCTTTTTTTTCACTTTTATTTATAAGTTCAGGTTTGGTTTAACTCCTCTTCGTAATGCTGTGTTGTCTCTTTCTCTTTGCTCTTATCTGCTTCACCCTTGCTCCCTTCCTCTATCCTGTTCCCAATCCCTACCTCCCGAGCGGTATCTGGACACCCACCAACCACCACCACTATCCCAACCACGTCGTCCCGCCACTGGGCGCTGGATAAGGCTACCAGCGCATGCTAGCTGCCAAACGGTGCCAGAAAGCAACGCCACGAAATAGCGTTAGCGGAGAAATGAGTGCGTCTCAGAACGGCGCCGAGTCGAAGCGACATTTGGTGGTTGCCCCAAAAGCTGGGGTATTGCAAATGGAAATTTTGTGTGGCCAGTTGTCGTTGTTTGCTGGAGCTCACGCTGTCGGTGCGAACGGTACGGGACTCGAACCAGTCGCCCGGATCACATGTCTCCGTGCAGTTATCCGCAAACCGGCGGGCGGTTCTTTGTAAAACTGACTCGAAATGCACCTGTTGTGGGACAGTGGCTGCGTGCGGTGATGTGTGGGTTGTGTCGGTGGGACGTAGGGATTGGTTGATTTCAGGATTGCAATGGACAACGAAATCCCCGAGAAGTTCCTGGGCTCGTTCAAGCTCGATCGCAGCGAAAATTTTGATGAATTTCTGGCCGCAAAAGGTTTTCTCCGTTTTTATGTTTTTCCGGGAGAAAAGCGATGCGTTCGAGCAGCAGCAGGCAACAGAAATGGGCCGCGTGCTCTGTGGCATGCACTGGCGGCTGTTCGTTGTGAAACATTTGCGGTTGCTGATGCAGTTCAGTTTAGGTGTGAATTGGCTGCTGCGTAAGATGATCTCGTTCGCCTCGGTCACCAAAGTGTTCTCGCGTGCCGAAGCAGGCCGCTACGACCTGATCAATCTGTCGTCAAAAAAGAACACGTCTTACAGGAACTGGAGGCTCAACGAGCAGTTCCAGTCCGAAGGTTTCGATGGCAAAATGCACAACGTACGCTTTCTCGTGTTTGTCTCTCTCTCTCGCGCGCGCGCGCGCAAGGCCGAGGGGCTTTTGTTCATGCACACCGCCCTCCAGGACCCCAGATCTGATCTCTCGTAAGTTCCTATAGCGTATGCACTACTTCGCTGCCCCGGGAATTCTGGCTTGTCCAAACACTCGCTGTTTCACTGCAGGCTTATGCATCTGGATTTCAGGCCTTTGCAGTTGGTAAAAGATCGAGTTTTGGCGGTGTGCAGATGGTTTCAGATACAGTAACATATATATGTATGTGCCGTGTGCAGTAAGCGTTGCAGTAGTAGGTCAAAACTCAGGGCCTCTCCGTAATCGCTGCCTGTGAGAGGGCGCTCGGAAGTAGCCCGAGTGCTAGCAGATGACAGCGAGTAGTTGCTTACAAGCAAGCTGATGGTGGGCTTGGCATGCCCCAGAAATGAGTGGAGGGATTGGCAGAGCGGAACCCTGGACTCACGAGAGCAGTAGCGCAGCTTGATGCTCAGTTGCCAGTCATTTTATGCCAGTATTCCTCTCAAAATACATTCCTCTGCGAAGTGCGAATCAGGCTACTCTTTCACGGGCACTGATGGAGCTATAAATTCTGCTCTTGGCCTTTCTGAGCAGTTGGGGTGGCGGTACGAGGAGGGAGGAGCATTGTCTCTTTGCCAGGCGCGGTCTTCATCTATCGTAGACACTGGCGGAGTGCTGTCATCATGCGTTCCTGCGATTAATTGTTGTGGAGCTCACGGGTTCTTTATTTCCAAAATTCTTATTGTTACTCTCAGTGTGAATCACTGATGCCAAGCAAAGCTGACTGTGCAAAGCCGACAAGCTTTTTTACAAGCCTACTTCCGTGCAGAACTCTAACGCTGGCTTCATTTTCAGCCTTCGCTCGGCGCATCACTGATTTTTAGCTGTCTTCGTGTTGATTGTTTCGTATTGACAACTTCACTTGTCAGCAATAAAGAAAATGCGCTATTTTTGCAGATTAGATTCGAATATGACCCAACAACAGAGAGTTTGAAAGAAACGCACGTTCGAATGAATGAACCAAACGATCAGCCGGAGACGTACACATATACGGTTGATGGTGACACCCTTGTTTTGGTGAGGATTTCCGGCACTGACCGGCGATTGTGTGGCTGAACACAAAAGACGATCAGTCCTGGGAAGAACATGCATTTGAAAAATCCTTGCAAGCCAGAAATGTGTCTTTGCTGACGGAAAGCGTGGCACCGAAATAAAATGTCTCACGAAAACCGCTGCACAGAGTTTTAACTATAGTACGCATTAGTGAAGTATGGAGTTGTCGAATTCTGTCATGTCGACAGTAAGAGGCATCACTAAAAAAAAAACATTGAAATAATTGGCCAACGGATGAGCTGCCGGTGCGAAGATGCGTTTTTTGCATAGCTCCCCGCAGATTTTTGTCGCTAACGGCACTGATTTTTCCGGCAGACGCTTCTAGCTAAAAGAATTTCAGACTGGCCGCCAAGACTGTCAGGAAACATCCCTTCAAAATCCCAGCCTTCTAGCTTCTTAAGTTCCCGAGTTAGCAACTTACTCGAAAAAAATTTTGGCGAGCCCGTACGTGAGTACCATGCTTACTCGGGGGCTGAGTTTGAGCTCAATGATACCTACTTGGACGGGGAACGTCCCCTTAAAATTTTGGCCTCCCAGCATTTGTGATTCCCGAGTTAGTAGCTTACCCGGAAAAAACTTTGGTGGCCTCGTGCGTGGGTACCACGCGGGAAAGGGCGTCCATTTTGGGGATTGGGGCCCGTATGTGCATGCAGATTAATTTCTCAAAATTCCAGCCCCATAGTTTTTGTAGGTGTTGAGATGAAAAAACGATACAGACGCACACATGGACACACATCTTATAAAGCCCATTTTCAGGAAATGGCGAATAATGACATAACTTGCAAGCGGTACTTTGTTCGACAGCCCGTGGCAACGCAACGATAATACTGGTGTTGATACAATAATAAAGTGTACGATAGGAAACGATATCCGCATCTGAAAATTCCGCGAAACTCTCGGAGTCACCTTTTTATGCGTTTTGCTTTATTTAATGCACAGAGACATACTGTCCAGAGATTGTGGGTGTCCCACGTGCAGCTCAGCAGCGCAGAAACTATGGGGTTGGAATTGCACACGGATGCTTTTAGCCCACGTGCCATACAAAAGTCTAAAATCTACATTTGCGTGCGTCTACGAAAACGTACAAATTTTCGACACGGGTGGTTTTCGGGACCAGGCAGCATGGGGAGTTGAAAATTCATGTGGGTCCTCCGTCCATCTCTGAGCAAAAAATTTCAAATCCAGTTATCATGCACGCTTACGTCGTGCTACAGAAGTGTCGAAATTGAGATTCAGACTCAAATTCAGGCAAAATTTCAACTTGACAATCAAACAGAGTGTCCAATCTTCACGAGAATATTTACTGTTCACTGGCGGTTACGCAAACGTAAAAAGTTTCGGCGTGCCTTTATAGCACATTTGGGCACATCAAAGATATTTGAGGAAAGCGTTTTCGTTAATCACTTAAGC